CGGAGTGACTGGATGGGTGTCAGATCAGCCTTGCCAGCAGAGCAGCCCTTCCCCTCCCGCCTCGGAGGGACACTGGCACACCACAGCCCTGCCAGCTCGCCGTGCCCCTGCTGTTGGCACTTCTGTGTCTCCCCAGTCCCAGGAAAACCCCCTGCTTTAAGCTGCAGCCATACTTGGCTGTTTCTCTGCCATGCCCACAGCCCAGGCCGGTGTTTTGTCTTGATCCAGCACTGGCTCCTTCCTTCCCCACACTCCTGGTGACTTCAGCTCCTAATCCTTTAAGCCACTCTGTCCTGGATCTCATTAGAAGCCCAGCACTCCCCAGGGGATGGAGCAGCATTGCAAATGGGTCATTTCTCTGAAACAGTGCAAGATACTTGTGTAAATAAATAAGCACAGTGTTTAAACCAGCCCTTTGGGGGCTTCTGATGACATTTACAGGCTGGCTGCTGGGAGCACTTCTTGCCCTACAGTGGCCCCTTGCATGCATTTCTGGTAAGCAGAGCCTTATTCTGGGGAGCAGCCTGCCCTGTGTTTGCACGTGAAGCAGCCCCAAGAGCTGCTCTGGAAGCACAAAGGGTAAAAGGCACCTGCAGACAGTGACCTGATGTGAGTATCCAGGAGCTGTCATGCACTCCCTGAGAGGTAACAGGCTGCTTCCAGCAGGGAGGAACTGTTCCTTGGAAGTGAGGAGTGACTCTTAACCAAGCACAGCAATAAAAAGCAGCTGTGTAGGATTTCCATGCAGTAAATAGTTCAGCTGGTCCTGTAAGTGGGGGTGTGACATGAGGAAGAGGAAGGGTGGAAACCTGGATTTGCTTGTGTTACCTGTGATTTAAGAAAAGACTGCTTCATTTAGAGGAGGGGAGGGAATGAGGGGAATAACTAGTGGGTGTATGTCAGTGGGACAATTAGCATTTCCATCAAGTGAGTGCCAGTTGGCTCTGGAATTAATCAAATACAGCTCGTTCCCTCCCTTCCCACTCCTCCCCTTGGCTTTTGCTGTTTGCTTCTGACTTGTCTGTGCTTCTCTGGGCTCAAAGAGATAACGTGGAGCCCCCTGGGACCCCAGCACCACTGAATTTACTGCCTGCTGCAGGTTCCTGGTTACCTCTTACCTTTCCCTAGTCCCAGCTTGAATTTCCTTGTGTTCTGTGTCAGACTTCCCTCAGGGGTTCTTTCAAATCTCCTCAAACATTGCTTTTGAATTGTTTGAGGGATTTTTTTAAATTAAAAAAACATGATGAGGCATTTATATTTGATTCCCTGCTAATCTCTACCCCAGTCAGGGTACTTGGAATAAGCTGGAAAGACACAGTACCTGGGAGGGCAGACTCAGGGTGCTCCTTGAATTCTTGGGAGAGGCAGTGTACACAGAGGTGGTTGGACACAGTCCTGCAGGAAAGCATCTGGCAAAAGCTCAGATCCATGCCGAAGACCACCGGAATTCCCCATTCTCCAATGTTTAATGCTGATTTATACAGACTAGATGCTGTATACAGGGATATAGCAAATAGTTTACCCTAAGCTAACACATCTGCACATACCCCAGTATCGGCAGCTTTCTTTGACTCCCCTTACCATACCCTTGAACAATCACCTGATTTTCCTGCCCCATAGAGGAGGAAATCCAGTTTTTGTGCTTGTGGCTGTTGGCTGTGCTGAAATGGGGAGACTTTTGTCACACTCCCCCAAAAGCAGAGCAGACAAGCAGCCTTTGCAGCCACTCAGGGCTGCCTCCAAAGCACAGGAATGGCCGTGGAGATGAAGAAGGGCTGCAAAGGGTGCTGTTTGCCAGCCCTCAGCCCGGCTGGACAACGTGTGCGTACACACGCGCACGCCCCGGCAGCCAACACACGGCTAATTCCTGGGAGGGATCCCCGCATGGGAGGGGATGGACAGTCAGCTGTGCTCACAGGAAGGAAGAGCCACTCAGGCATGGCTGCTGGATGGCTTCCAGAATGCTTTGGCAGCTTGACTCAGCCGTGTACAGAGGCTGGGGGGAAAAGGAAAGGATCACAAAGAATGTCACTGGGCTGAAGGTGAGGGATTGGAGCTGTGCCTGTGAACACAGGGCTGCAGCAGGAGGCAGGCACAGCTCTTCTCCATTTGCCTCCTCATTTAGGCACTGAGGTGTCAAACAACTTGAACAAAACACCTTTTGGGCACTGTAATTTAAGAAATGCACCATCTACACTCTCTGGGGAAGGGACTGTGTGCTTGAAAGCCAGAAGTTCCTGTTGTCTGCTGCCCAAAAAACATTTCTTCATATTAAAAGCCTCTGCTGCAACCCAGTAGCTCAACCTTTGCTCTGACACTCTTCACACCTTCAGCAGCATTCCATTACTCATTTCTTTTCTCCAGGCTTTAAATGATAGTCAGCATGCCTCATACACAAAAACAGCCCAGCAAGTAAAACAGCATAAAACTCCAAAAGCCCAAGGAAAAGGCAGGCACACACCTTCTGGTGGAAACACAGTACCTGCCCCTGACCCTTTTATATCCACCTCAGTGAGCTGCTTAGGCTCACCCAGAACCATACTTAGGGTTACAGCTGAGTAATCCTGCTCTGCCAGTCCCCTCTGGGTTTTTTGGACCCAGAGAGTTCCATTAGGAACCCCCAGAGTTTAAATATTGTTCTTACTAATGCACTGATGTCCTCATCTCCAGGTTTTCTGTAATTTACACAAAATGAGGAAGAGATTCTGTGTTTAATTTACATTAAATCAGGGCTAGATCTGTAGCAGAGAGCAAGTTTTGGTAGCTTCAGAAGTTTTCCAAGGGGAGCCTTTAGGATAAAAGCCTGCCAGAATTTGCACTGATGCGCATCAGATTTTGGAGTTCACAGATCCAGGGAACTCAGTGTGGTTCCATGAAGACTGAGCAAAACCAGGTTGGGATTTCTGGATATTGTTTTGGTTCCAGGACAAGCAGAATGGCAGATAGGAATGGCAGGAGCTGGGAACCCAGGCAGAATCAATTTTTTGCCTAAGAACAAAATTACACACGGTGACTTTCAGGTCTTCCTCAATGTTGCTGTGATGCAGAAGGACAGAAAAAAGTGCATTTGATTTAGGTTTGTTTTCCCCTTTCTGTAACTGTGGCAATGACACCGCTGCCTGTTTGACTCACCACGATTTCAAAGCAATATTCAAGTGACTAACAGCTGAAAAATGCGCGTGTCCTTTGCCTCCCAGCTCAGGGCTCACTCCTCTGGAAGGCCCCTGATGGCCACACATCGCTCTGCATTGGCAGAGCACTTCTGTATTTCAACATCATTTATCTGGGTGCCCTGCCAAGGAGTAGTCCTGGAGCTTTCAGATGGTGTCAGGGGCTCACTGGATGGGCAGGGGGTGCCTCAGGTGGTCTCAGCACCGTGGTTTTAAGGACTTCATCACAGAGCACTCACCCAAGTCCTGGGTTTGAACAGCCAAGTGTGCCGTGCCTTGGGTCCAGGTGCTGCAGAGGTACAGATCAGCTTGACATCTGACAGATGGAGCAGCAAGGGCAGGTGGAATAGGGCTCCTGTGGCCTGGCAGGGGCTGTGAGGAGTCTGTTCAAGTGCTGCCCGCTTCCACACCAGCACTTGAAGAGCGAAGATAAATCCAGTGAAATCCAAGCAGCAGAGATTTGGCACTCCCAAAGCGCAGCCTGCTTGCGTTGCGGGGAAAGGCTGTTGTGATTTTGGGATTCTGGAGCAAAGGTGGAAGGATTTCAGGTGTAATCCCATGTCCTTAAGTAACTGGTTTCCTTCATGGCCCCGTGCCAGGCAGTGTGAGCACGGAATCCTCTTATCCCGTAGCTCTGCTGGCCGTGTGAGCTCACCTGGAAGTGACAGGGGGCTGTAATTAGATGTGGGGCTCGCATTTGCCCCTGCAGTTTCCTTGGGCCTTGGTGGGGGAAGGGAAGCAGCAGCCCTGTAACTGAGACCCTTGGCAGGGGACAGCTCTTGCTCCGTGTCAGAACGCTGGAATGGCTGTCAGCATCAGCTGGAAAACCCTGCAGGACTTGACCCTCGTAGAGGGAAAGTGGCATCTTTGGTTAGCTGGACTTGCTGAGCAGAACCCTCAGCTTCTTACCTCAAATTCAAGTTGGAGCTGTTTGAGGATCTGCACACCTACTGCAGCTGGCTGGAGGAGAGTGTGTGAGGGAAGAGCTGCACCCTCTGGAGCAGCTGCTTTGGATTTGTATGAAGTCAAGGCTCGTGGATTTTGTGTGTCTGGGGAGGGAAAGACCAGCAAACTCGGCTAACCTCGTCTTTTTAAATCACACACAGAGTCCTGCTGAGCAACAGCCTAGGGAGGCAGGGAATAAAACCTCTCCCTGTGTCCCCTGGCAAGTGGGTGGTTTTTTAATGGGACATCGGAGCTCCCTTCTGACAGTCAGGACAATTGGATGAATTTGGTGTGCACAGGCTCATCCTTAGGCTTCTGATGTTCACATTTTGCACTGGGCTGGAGCCCTTTGTGCCCCAGAACTGCTAAATGGGAGCTTTACCTGAGCTCTTTTCATGGCTCCTGGGCCATTAGGAATACAAAGGTCTTGACTGATCCCGAGCATGAAAAAGCACAGAACACAAAAGCTGGATAGTTAATGGGAAAATTGAGCTAATTCCCCCTCAGACTGCAGTTTGGAGCAGTGGAGTGCAGTGCAGTGGAGAAGTGGGACTTTGTAAGTAGAAGTTAAGAGCCTTCCCTGTGCAAACGACAGGAGGGAGCAATCTGGGAACAGCAGAATGCTTCTGATCTTGTCTGCAGGTTCTGCACAGAGCCAACAGCTCCGTGGGTTATGGGGGGTAAACTGGGAGAGCCAGCAGGTGACTGTAGAAACCCCAGATTCCTAGGAAGAAACGCTCTTCTCCATCCCAGAATTTTGTGAGCGCCTGCTTGGCAGCCCCACAGCTACTGTGCATAAACTCTGGGACGTGGTGTTGCAGGGCATCCTTGGGAAGAACAGAAAGGAAGGAATGCTGTGCAGTAACAGTTGTGATGGTCTTTCAGACTAACAGGGATGCCAAAGGAAAAATATGATCCTCCAGATCCCCGCAGAATTTACACCATCATGTCGGCGGAAGAGGTGGCCAACGGGAAGAAGTCGCACTGGGCTGAATTAGAGATCTCGGGTGAGTTGGTTGGGGTTTAAATTCCCATAGTTAGTGCCCCAGAGCACTCCAGATCCTGAGGGGGTCCAGGCTGAGGAGGTGTTTGAGTTCCTTGCTTTCCTCTTGCAGGGAGAGTGCGGAGCTTAAGCACGTCGCTGTGGTCGCTGACACACCTGACTGCTCTGCACCTCAATGACAACAACCTTACTCGCATTCCACCTGATATTGCCAAGCTTCACAACCTGGTTTACCTGGATCTGTCATCCAACAAACTCAGAAGTTTACCAGCAGAACTAGGAAACATGGTGTCTCTCAGGTGAGGGGGATTATTCTGGTTAACTTCACAAAAAGTCTCTAGCGTGGGATTGGGACCGAGAGTTTCAGTTTGTTTCCTGTGCCTGTATTTCAAATAATTCTGAAAAACTCCAGATTGGTGCAGAGCTTTGGTTCTGATAATTAGTTTTGGGTTTGCTGGCCTTTTTTTCTGATTGCTGATATATCACCATTTCCATCCCTGGTTTAATCTTGGGCTTTGTGGTTTTTTTCCCCCTCATGAATGTATTTCAGTCATGCTTTGACACGGGAAGATTGGCATATCTTTCCATAATAATATTCAGGGTGAAAAGTGATCTCTTTGAGGATGAGCAGTGTACGGCACCTTAGGAGTTTCTTCTGCAGTAATACTCACCCAGTGTTTTTGCATTTGCTGCAGGGAATTGCTTTTAAATAACAATCTGTTACGGGTTTTGCCTTATGAACTTGGACGGCTCTTCCAGCTGCAAACCCTGGGTTTGAAAGGTGAGCTCTTCCCAGTTCCATATTCCCAAGAGTTCTCAGGAATCCTGAGGGGGGGCTGGCCTCAAAACCTTTCTCTATTACCTCAAGGTTTTCTTACAGGTGATTTTAAGCATTAAGTTGGTAGCAAAAATTACCAGGCAGCTGGGAGAACAATGCTTCTCTTTCCTAATGCTGCTAAACTTCCTTAGGAGCTCATTTCAAATCTGCAGTCAGGGAAATAAACCCTTTAACCTGCTGAGTTAATTTGTCTGTTCTCATTCTGGGAGATTTTCTTTGGGTGGAAAGCCTCAAGAAAGGCAGGCAGCTGATCCCCTCGCTGTTGTTTTGTGCTGTTGGCAGGCAATCCTTTATCCCAAGATATTCTCAGCCTCTACCAGGATCCAGACGGAACCCGAAAGCTACTGAACTACATGCTTGACAATCTAGCAGGTACAGCCCTGGGGATCTGGTGCACAAAGGCTTTAAAAGTAGGATTTGCTGTTAAAACAGGACTGTGAACCACTGGAGGGAGAGTATTCCTTCCCTGCTGTAGTGTTTTTGCCAGGTGGCTCCATCACATCCCAAAACACACCTGGTGGAAGAGGCTGATGTGTGCTAAGGGTCTCCCGTGTTACAGCCACATGTTCTCTCTGTTCAATTACCCACCAAGGGCAAAGTCTGCCTTGCTGAAGCCATTTTGGTTCTCCCCACCAGAAATAATCATTTGAATGCAAGCAGAATGTCACATCTAGCTCAAGAAACACCAAAGCCATTAAGAACATCCAGTACCTGACCTCAGTCCTGCTTTCTGGTTCTGTAACTGAGCCTTCTGCTTTGCCACTTGATGTCTCCCAAGTTAGGGCACTGCAGGAATGATGGATGCAGGGCAAGGTTATTGGAGAAGGGATGGCTGAACCATGCCAGGATTTACCCCTCCTTTTCAGCAGCTTATTCCATGTGCAGGAGTATTTCGGTCGTGCTTCTGAATCTGAAGAGACAAAAAAATAGTCACAAATCTTTAAAATGGCAATTTTTTTCCCTTTTAAATGATTTTTGCCTCCCCTGAAGACTTGGGGAGTTGGGGATGCAAAACACGTTATTGTTCAATCATCACTTTGACTTAGGAACTGTAACTTACAAATAGAAACTCTGAATTAATCACTGGTTTAATTTTTTTTTGCAGTTCATCCAGAGCAGCTGCCTCCAAGGCCATGGATTACTTTAAAAGAACGAGACCAAATTCTGCCCTCAGGTAAATCTGTGTTCACAAGGTGACACACTGGGAAACTTACCCTGGGCTTCCTTTTCCTGGATCAGAGTGAAAACAGCAATTTGTTCATTTGTACTAGAAAAATTACCATATGGCTGTGCTGTAAATACCATTTTTGTCATTTGAATGGGAAGCTGGGAATTTCTTTCCCGTGTTGGGTTTTATCACAGCTCTTCCAGCCACTCTTGCCCAAGCCAAAGAGACAATCTCCAGGGGCTGACAGCCTTTCTCTCTCTCCCTGCAGCTTCATTTACAGTCATGTGTTACAATGTGTTGTGTGATAAATACGCCACCCGGCAGCTCTATGGCTACTGCCCCTCCTGGGCACTCAACTGGGAGTACAGGAAAAAGGGAATCATGGAAGAAATAGTCAACTGTGATGCAGACATCATTAGTCTTCAGGTAATAAAACATAACTGCATTTTCCATCAGAAACAGAAAACATGAACCTCCACCTTTAGGATTAAATGTTCCCTTGGGAGCACCGTAGCAAATTCCAGGTCTTCCCAATGCAAGCTGTGTATCTAGGTTCCAGTGTGTGGTCTGCTGCTCTTCAAAATAGTCCAGTCACTTTGCCTGTGGGAGGGATTCCAGGAAATCCAGGGATGCACACCCGTTCCCAGCAGGCCATTAGTCTAGGAAGGGACACGGACTGTGCAGCTTTTCTGCCTGCGAGCCTGGGCAGGCACAAGGAAGGGTTTCCTTCACTTCTTTAGCCTGAGGTGTTTGTGTGCAATTGCAGGAAGTGGAAACGGAGCAATACTTCACCCTTTTCCTGCCAGCCTTGAAAGAACGGGGATACGACGGGTTCTTTTCTCCAAAGTCACGTGCCAAAATCATGTCGGAGCAGGAGAAAAAGCACGTGGATGGCTGCGCGATATTCTTCAAAACGGAAAAGTAAGGGCAGCAGCAGCAGCTTCTGAAATTCACACCTCAGCCTCAGAACAGCTCCCAGCAATCAGGATGGAGGTTTCCCAAAGCCTGAGCTGCCTCTCAGAGTTTTCACTGCTTCCAAAAAGAAAAATGCAGCTCTCGGGCCAGGTCTAGACCCAGCTGGAGCGGTTTGGAAGAGAGGGAGCCTGCGGGAGCAGACAGGGATGGTTGTCAGATGGGGACACTGCCACGGGGGCTGTGGCACAGCTGCTCACTGGGGTTCTCTCCCTGTTGCCCAGGTTCACTCTGGTGCAGAAGCACACGGTGGAGTTCAACCAGGTGGCCATGGCCAACTCGGAGGGCTCGGAAGCCATGTTGAACAGAGTGATGACCAAGGACAACATCGGGGTCGCCGTGGTGTTGGAGGTGCACAAGGAATTATTTGGAGCAAGTGAGTATGACTGCGGTGTCCTGACTGCTACTCAGCTCCACAGACAGGCACGAGTTGTTCCTAGGTAATCCATGCTGTTCCCCTTGGTGGTGCAGCCCATGGGTGGCTCAGACAGGCACAGAGGACATGGTCTGGTTGTGCTCACAGCAAGATGCCCAACATTTGCTTTTCTCCTTTCAGGCTTTTATCCCTGCTTACTTACTCTGTTACATTCTGCTTGAGCAGCTCAGCTTTCCCAAGGTCACTGTGTTTACACACATTTGCTCTTACCAGTAGTTGGCAACAATGTTCAACTTCTATTTTCAACTCTCTTTTCCTCCCCTGGATTGACTCCTTCCACCCTCCCCCAGTGATTAGATGTCAGTGCTAATGTACTGATGTGGAAGGAGGAGATTATCAGGTATCTTTTCCTGCCTCTTGATTGACTGACTGTCACATTTTCATTAAGTTTGATCAGATGCAGCAGACAATTCCAGCGCAGGTAAAACTGCCACCCTGCTCTGTCTGCGTGGCTGGGGTTTTCATGGCTTCAGAGGAGGCTGGAAGGAGCTCCCTGGGCTGTTTACAGGCATTTCAGCAGGTTTAAGCAATGAAAGCACACCCATCTGCTGGTGGGTCTGACCCTGAGCCCTGAGGAGCTACACCCCAAGTATGAGCAAGCAGGAGCACAGAACCTTTCACTGCTACCATTGTGTGTCCAGGTATGAAATCGCTTCACGTGGACAAGCAGCTGCTCATCGTGGCCAATGCCCACATGCACTGGGACCCCGAATACTCAGATGTGAAACTCATCCAGACCATGATGTTCGTCTCAGAGCTGAAAAACATCCTGGAGAAAGCCTCGAGCAGGCCCAGTAGCCCGACAGCAGATCCCAACTCTATCCCTCTGGTGCTGTGTGCGGACCTCAACTCACTGCCTGATTCAGGTGAGGCTGGGTGTTGGGCCTGACTTTTAACTTACCTTCTTAGGATCTCAGGGTCCACTTTTTCCTCTGAAGGCGAGGGGGTTGTTTTGCACTGCCCAGGGAAGGTATGGGTGAGAGCTTTCCTAGGAAGAGCTGCCTTTGGAAATCTGGCTGAAGAGACTGCGAGCCCTCTGGCTGAGTCGCCTGCTCTTCCAGTACCTAGCTGGACACTCCAGGAGAGCTGGCTGCACCTACAAAAGTGTAGAAAAGCACAGTTAGATCTTAAATAAGTCATTATTAAATGACTTATTTATCCATTATCCATGCCTGAAGTAGCAATAAGAAAGTAGGAAAGAAGTGAGTTCCTGATGAAGACTTTCTAAGGAGAGGGGTTTGCTTTGCTAACTGAACTCATGGTGCCTTGGTGGCCTTCTGGTTTACAATACCCCAAAGCTGTCTTTGAAAGCAGCTCCCTAAACCCTTCCCCTTGCCCCCAGGTGTAGTGGAATACCTGAGCAACGGCATAGTAGCTGACAACCACAAGGACTTCAAGGAGCTGCGCTACAACGAGTGTCTGATGAACTTCAGCGGCAACGGCAAGAACGGAGCCTCGGAGGGCAGGATCACGCACGGCTTCCAGCTCAAGAGCGCCTACGAGAACAACCTGATGCCTTACACCAATTACACTTTCGACTTCAAAGTAAGCCCCGATCGATCCCGGGGGCTGTGCCGTGTCAGAGCCCGGCCCCCGGGCTGATGAGCAGGGCTGCAGGGCGTGCCCTGCCCTCACTGCGCTCTCTCGCTCTCTCCGCAGGGTGTGATTGACTACATTTTCTACTCCAACACTCACATGAACGTGCTGGGCGTGCTGGGCCCTTTGGACCCTCAGTGGCTGGTGGACAACAACATCACGGGGTGCCCGCACCCGCACATCCCCTCGGACCACTTCTCGCTGCTGACGCAGCTGGAGCTGCAGCCGCCACTGCTGCCGCTGGTGAACGGCATGCACCTGCCCTCCTGCAGGTAGTGCAGCCCCACGGGCTGCCCCACGGACCTGTACACTTGTAAATCCCTCTAGATAGGAGTGAAGTATGGCCAACCTTCAGCTGCTTCTTCGAGCTCCTTTCCTTATGTGTTTGATAAGAGATTTTTGCACATTTTGGTGCATATCGGTATCATTTGGCACTAGGGCTGGAACCAAAGTATTATTCCCCTTTCCAGGTTTTTAATTTAATTTTTGTTTGTGTTTTGTTTTGGGTTTTTTTTTTATTTTACTTTAAACTGGCTTTTTCTTTTCAGTAGGAAGCTGCACTTCTAAATGGACAAAAAAGATTTAAAAACTTGCATTTAACATATTTCAAGGTAATGCTTTTTTCCAGAACGTGGCAAATTGAGCCAACCTTTTAGAAAAAGAAAAACAAAACTAGGGATGCTTGTTTTGTAGGAAGAATGTTAGAAATACTCTTTGTTTGAATCCAAAATGGAGACTCAACTCTGCATCCGACATAAATTTTGCACATTAGCAAAGCACTTAATACCTGACTATAAACGACTGGCAGCATGGCCCTGCCCCTCATCTCAGTACTATCAGAAAACCAAAGACATCCAAAGTATCTGTGATCAAATTCGAGCTCTAAATCCTCCTGGTTCCAATTTGTTTGGGAGCTGTTGTCAGTCAGGGCTGAAGTAAAAAGCTGCTGGTTCCTTCCCAAATGTTAATGCTCTTTGGACGTGTTGGAAATCCTTGTTTTCTCTTTCCTTTTAATGCTCTGGGTGGCCAGTTCAAAACCTTGTGCCTCAAGAGGCATTAAACATGATGCAATTTTCTGGAAAAAGAAAAAAAAAAACGAAACAAAAAAACCAAGTTGTTTGGCTGCTTAATGTTTAAAAAACATGGCACAGTGATAGGAAAAGGTCGTGTCTGTGTTTTTAAGTTTTTCTTTATTCTGCTTTTTTGCTGCTATAAGATTTTCTTGAATTTCTATTTGAAACTTTTCATGCACTTTACTGTTTCTAGTCTCCAAATGTGATATTTTTAATAAATGAAAAACATTTTCCATGATGTGAATGAAATTTTTAAGCAGATTGATAAGCCTATATTTATGTCTCATTCGTATACTTCAAAAAAAGTCCAATTTGAATTGTGAAATTAGTTTTAAATACAAAAGAGCCATCTTCTGTCTTGCAAAACTGCCAAGTCAGGCTGTTCCTCTTTAATTAAACATTTCCTTTGTCATTTTATACACAGGAAATTTTCCATAGGGGGAAAAAAAAAAATCAATTGGACTTAGAGGAGAGACTATTCCCTGACTCTGATTGGGTGCCACGGGAGGGGGTGGAGTGGGCCAGAAGGCAAAAATGGGTTCAGCAAAGTGACAACTCCCTTGGAAAAGTGCCTAAAAAATGGGGGTGTCACCTATGGTCTGGGATCAATTGGAAGCGATGGGAGCTGGGGGAAAGTCCTGCACAGCACTTGCTTTGTGCAAAACCAAACCAAACCAACCAAAAAAAAAAAAAAAAAAAGCCCTTTCCAGAGATGGATTTTCCTCTGGATGCAGGTATCTCTGTTGGAATATACCTCAGCGTTCCCTACCTGGCCATGGCACATGGATTGGAGAGCACTGGAAAGTAGAATAGCATGAAAAACTTAATTTTGTGGACATTACCTTTCTGTTTTGAGCTGCTGTATGTTTTTTGGGCAGGGGGGGGAGGCTCCGCTCCTGGGGCGTGCTGTAACCTGCTCCCCTGTTCCCCCAGGCACAGTGGTCCCAGTGTGAGCAGTGTTTCCTAACCATACTTCACTCCCAATATTTTTGGAGCTGTTTGTATAAAATGGAATTTCCCATTCGCCCGTGGTTGTCTATGAACTGCAGAGGAGCCCGTTTAGTAATAAAAATCCAAACCCAGCACCAATGTTTTGTAATGTGGGGGTGGGAGAGGACAGGGATGGGAAAACCCAAACCTTGGCAAACGTTGTGAGCTGCTCCAGCTGGGTTTTCCTTGGGTTTCTAGCGATGGAAGTGTTCCGTTGCACGAAGGTGATCCACTGGATTTTCTCTGCTGCACTCCCCAACGCTCGTCACGCCGCGCGGTTTTTAACACAAAAATGGTTTTTTAACAGACACTGCACAAAAAAATCCCAGTTTGGTTTATGTTTCAGTCAATGCACATGTTTACCTGCCTCTCCTGTGCGTCTCCCTCCTGTTTTCCTCCTGGTTTTCCCTTCCCAGCAGGAGCAGTGAGGGTCTGGTGCTTTTTTTCCCAGCCTCTGTTCCCAGCATGTTGCAGGCAATACCTGGAAAAAAGGCTCCAAGCCCTTCCCTGCTGCTCACTGCCTCCGTTTGCTTCCCCAAACACGGTGCCTGGTGTCCACTCCCCAGCGACAGCACTGCCTAAAGCCAGCAGAGAAAACAAAATCCAACACCCTTCTACAAGCAACTTTTTAAAACAACTCAATCTGGTGAATCTGTCCGATACGGGGTTTTGTGTGTGTGTATATATATACATATATATATATATAAAAAGAGAATTTTGTACAATGGAGCTGAATAGTTCTGCTTCTTTCACTGCAAGGAGACTGAACCTTACACAAGTTTGGTCACGCACACCCCCTCCCCCTCACCCTTTGGTGTTCCAAGGTGTCACAGATCCCAAGAGAACCTGGTGGAAACCACTAAATCCTCTCTGCCAAGCATCAGCCAAGAACTCACTTGAATTAGAAATAATTTTAGGTGGAGATTATAAACTTCTAGATCCAGGTACAGCACAACCCCTCCCTGTGAGAGTGGTGAAGGTGAGAGTGATCCTGGTGCTGGGGTCCATCCATCCTTTTTGGAGGCTCCCACACCACCCTGTAGTGGTTACTTTGAGAGCTCGGGGGTTTTTTAAGTCAGGTTTTCTCTTGTGTGTTGCCTTTGCAGCCGGGAGGTCCCGTCCCTGAAAAGATGGAAGTGCCCGTGGAGCAGGGGCAGCTGCAGTGTCACTCCTGGGCGTGCTTACACTGCAGTTTTAGGGGGATTTACACCCTGCTTCATGGGAATAGCAGCTTTGCTTTACATTTGGGAGCATGTGGGGCTCTGGCATGAGGAAACACTGCTTGCCCTGGGCCTTCAGGCAGCTGAGGAACGGGAGGTCATCAAACCCCTGACTTACATTTCCCTTCCCTTGAAAAATTACTTTTTTTAAAAAAATGGGCTCACTGTGGAGATGGGATATTGCTCACCCATGATGGCTAGGGCTAAACATCCACCTGTGTACTCCCACATCCTTCTGGAGCCAACAAACAGCCCTTCTGCAGCCATTCTTACCCTTCCTGTGGTCCTTAAGGAGCACCGGGCAGGAAGGAGGGGACACAGAGACGGGGTGGGTGTTTCCCAGCATGGCACTGCCCAGGGACACATTTTTGGCAATCCAGTGGGGGTGGGTGGGCAGCACAAATTAGGTTCCTGCAGACCTTAAACACCTCCTCCTGGAATGGCCCAAGCAGATTGTAAATAGGGATAACCCTGCACAGGGCCACAAGTCACACCTGTGTCACCTCAGTCCGTGTGGCCAAGGCACACTGACTGCTGTGCCAGGCTGGGAAATGGCACTCCACAGAAAGCCTCAGCCCGTCACTGGGAAATTTCCCACTTCTGTGTTTCCACAGCCTGGAGCAGCAGCACACCCTATCCAACTCCTGCAATTACGTGCTCCTGCCAGGAGCTGTCAGGAAAAGGCACCAAATCCCAGAGCAGAGCAAAGGCGGCGTGTTCCAAAGCATCCTTGGCAAAGCAGCCAAAGGCTTCACGGTGCCACAGCCCAGCCAAACTCCCCACCCCAAAAACGCCAATTTTCACACAAAAAATCCTTGCAGAAAGAGCTGCCAACAGCCGAGGGGGGGAGCACATCCATCCTTTTATTGGTGCCACCGGGATGGGCTGTGGTTGTGTGCGGGAACAGCGCAGGTACCCGAAAGGGAAGGAAGTGGGTGCCTGAGGGGAAAGTAGGGAAAGGCTCCTGCCCCCCAAAACCCCGGGAGCAGAGCGCTGTGCCAGTCAACCAGCGCGTCTCAGGGCAGGGGGGTTGTGTCACTGCTGTCCCACGAGGGATTCATAACCGGGGATTCCTGGGATGTGGCCAGCGGGAGGGACGGGGTGGGGGGTCTCCAAGGGCTCCGGCAGCACGGTGCTTCCCGCCGCAGCCGCGGCAGCGCTTTTTGGATGCCGTTCCTGCAGATTTTGTGGGAGGAAAGAAAGGAAAGCGGGTGGGTCAGAGGAAGGGATGGTCCTGCCAAGGTGTCGGGGGTGTGTTTTCCAGCCTCCGGGCATCACATACCTCTGCATCAGCTTGTGGATGAGCAGCTGGATCCAGGGCGCCTCGGGGGCCACGCACACCCGCCTGTTCTTCTTCAGGGTGAGGCTGCAAGGCCACGAGGCCCCTCAGCCCCATGCACGTCCCTTCCCCAAAGCTTTTCTAACCCACAGAGAAAACGCCCCTGCTTCCTCGGCATGAATATTTTGGGGCCTTGACCTGATGACCTTGAGCCACGCAGGGAGGGACTCCCTTGAAACTGGCACCAAGAGTCACCCCAACATTTATGGGCTTTCCCCCTGCAGGTACTTGTGCACCAGTACCCAAAGGAGCAATTTGCAGGGGTTGGTTCCCAGGCTTTGCACTTACATGACCTCCTTCCTCCTGCAGTGAATGCCTGGCGGGGTAACGTCGATGGTGAGGATCAGCCCCAGGTTGACGACGTGGGCGGTGGATTTGATGCACTTGCACCTCATGTTGGTCAGCAGGCTCTCCAGAGACAGACCTGTGCCCCAGGGCAGCCCACACCAGCTCTCGGCCCCCCGTGGGGGAGGCACATGGGGACACAATCCCCCTCCCCACTATCCCATCCCCTCCCTGACACCCACAGGCTGCTCTTCATGGGGTTTGCAGCAGGGCTAATCCCTCCCACCCAGCACAGTCTCAAAGCCTCTTTTCCTGTATATGGAAGGGGTTTATCTGCAGGGTTGGAAAACTTAGCCAGCATTTTATGAATCAAACCCATTGAGCCCACCCACCAAGAACCTGAGTTTTGTGGGGATCTGAAAAAGAAGCATCTTAAACCCACGAGGCGTACCCCCCTCCAGCTTAGCCACAGGCTTTAAAAAACAAGCTCAAAGATAGGCAAGAACCAAAACTGAAAGCACAGCAGCTAAAACCCACACTCAGCCCCACCTGGGACTCCCAACGCCCCTGCCCAGGCGTTTGGAGGGGCCACGGATGGACAGACACCCAAAGGCACTCACCGCCCACCGGCACCGAGCTGCTCAGGAGCAGGAGCAGGGCCAGCAGCAGCAGCCGCATCCTCGCCACCCACCCCGAGCCGTGCCAGGGCTGCTTTATAGCCAGCCCCTCGCCCCGGGGGGATTTCACAACCCCCGCTGGGGCTGGGAAGGAGGAGGACAAAGGGGCAGCCCTAGGCCTCAACTTCCCTGCCGCCGCTTCCCCCCGCTGCACGTGGCCCGCGCTGCCTCCCCGCCACAAAAAGCGGAAAACGCCGCGGCCACCTCCTCAAACCCGCCGTGAATTTGGCCAAAGGCTGCTGCCCCCCGTGCCTCCCACCCCAAGCCCCTGGCATGCCACAGCAAGGGATGCAAGGGACAGTGACAGAGGGCTGCCATCTTTATTGGGCCTGCTGGGTCGGGCTCAAGAGGGACGCCCAGCGCATGGCTTCGGGATGGGAGAGGCGGGAAGCAGGGATGGGCATTTTTAAGGGTTTAAAGGCATTAAAAGGGGCTCAGGCAGAAGCATCCTCCCCTCTGGACCGGGGTAAGGCAACAGCAGGATGGGGAAGGGAGGCAGTTTTGGGCCCAGCACATCTGGCCGTGCCTCTGGTGGCAGCTTCCTCAGCGGGGAGCCTTTTTCTTCCTCCTGCCAAAAGCAGAAGGGGGAGCAATGTGTGAAGACAGGTTCCCACGGGCTGCCCCTGGTGCTCAGGGGGAAAGGGGAGCTTACAAGTGAGGGAGGTCCTGCAAGAGTTTCTTCATCCAAGGCGTGTCGGGATCCACGCAGACCCTCTTCAGGCTCTTGAGCTTAATCCTAGAAAAGACACGGCCTCTCAGACTTCCACTTCCCCTCCTGCAGACAGCCAAGCCTCCCACCTTTCCCACAAGGAAAAGGAGACCTCAGCAGGCCAGGGAGGGCCCTGGGAGTCACTTACACCACCTCGGGGCGCCGGCAGCTGCTGCCCACGGGCCACACCTCGATGCTGCTGTACCTCTCCGGCGGGATGAAGGCTCGCGTGCTCTTGAGGCAGCGGCAGCTCAGCTTGCCGTTGGCTTCCAGGATTGCTGGAGGGGCACACGGCCATGGCATCACCCCGCCGACGGGCACACCCATCGTCCCACCATCACCCACCCCAAGGCCGGAAAGCCTCACAAGCCCCAGGGCCACCCGCGGGCACAGGGGAAGCTCACCTGTGTCCCCGGGACGGTGGGACAGCAGCAGCACGGCCAGCAGCAGGGCTGCCCGCACAGCCATGCCGGCCCCAGCCCCGGCCCCGCAGCATCCCTCTATTTGAGCTGGGAAATAGGAGAAGTGAGGCGGCACGGGAGGCCCCGGGGTCGCGGTGGTTTTGCCCGACCCCTGTCGCTGCTGACGGCGCTCGCTGAGTTTGCAGCGCTGCCGATGAAACGCGGCTTGGCAGGGGGCCCGGCTTCCCGAAAGCGGCTCTGCTTTCCCCTTCCTTTCTTGGCTGTTTCCTCCAGCTTCGCTCTTAGCACACGCAGCCCCACCAGCCCGGGGTGCTTTTCTGTCCTGCGTGATCAGGTATGGCTCATTGCTCCCACAGCCACCTTGTCCCCCTGCAAGGCACGGCCCTGCAGCGCCCCGGTGACATTTGCTTTTGATTTTTTTTACCCCAAAACTCCACCGAGTGACCTCACTCCCATTCCTGACATAGATTTCCTTATTGGCCTGGACTGGTTTTTAAAGCCTTACATCCACCTATAAATCCCAGCTCCAGCACTTGGATGTGGAGCACTTTGGCTGGATTGTCCCATCACCCTATCACCAATATCGTGCCCTCAAATCACCACCAGGGGAGATAACAGGTTATGATGGGAAGGACCCCTGACAAGAGGGAATGGCTTCACAATGCCAAAGGGAAGGGTTAGATGGGATACTGGGGGGAAAATTCTTCCCTGTGATGGTGGGGAGGCCCTGGCACAGGGTGCCCAGACAAGCTGTGGCTGCCCCTGGATCCCTGGAGATGTCCAACACCAGGCTGGACAGAGCTTCAAACAACCTGAGATAGTGGAAGGTGTCCCTACCCACACCAGGGGGTGGGACTGGATGGGCTTTGAGGTCACTTCTAATCCAAGCTGTCCTACGATTCTATGTCATACATGGCTTTAAAACTAGGAGATCCAGGGAAAATACAACAGAAAGGAAAATCCCGAATTTTATTGGACTTGAGCTATGAGAACAGGACATGTCACACGGTGCCACACAACTCTCAGACACACACTCTGTTGCCGAGCACTTCACATGGAAAAAGTCACAAAGTCATTCCTAAAGAAGCAGGAGCAGCCCCTGACAGGGAACAGTTTCGCAGTCCACAGGCAACTAAACAAATGAAGGATTCATATTCACACTGCTCCAGGGACCAAGAGCAGGGCAGAATCCCCCCACAAACCTGCCACGGGGCTGGGGCCAGCAGCGAGGCACCCTCCCCACAGCCACTGCCACCAGAGCCAGACGTGGGGCTTTTGGGAAGGGGAGGAAGACAGGGTCGAATGAGGAGCAGCCAGGTCTGCACACCTGGGCATCATCTGCCAACCTGCCTCAGCTCTGGGCATCAACTTCCTTAACAGGAAACCTATTTTTTCTTCCTGTGAAAAGCAGAAGGAGGAGAAACGTGTGAACACAGAGGAAAGTGGGTCTGGGAGAGGAAGCTCCTGCCCCAGCCGAGGGAAGTCGCTGTCGTGTCCCCAGGGCGGGCATCGCTCGCCGGGATGGCCACAGACCCAGCACAGGCACAACACAGAAGGGCAGCTTTCCCAGCATCAACACCCTACTGCACCTGGCATGAGCAAGCCCTGCTCCTGCCACTGCTCCCCTCATCCTGCTTCCCCAAACTGTTTTGGAAGTGCAGCACTGTGTGTAAGCCAGGGGAAGCAAGACCCACAGATGGGTCACGTTGGGCTGAACACTGCTTTGCACAGCGAAGTGTTGCCCCTCATGGCTTTGGAAGTGGGTCCTTGGACAGCAGCAGCTCTCTGAGAGCTCCTGAGCCCACGAGAGCTTCCCAGAACCATGGATGTGCTGGGATGATGTCCAGGGACACCTGAGCCAAAGGAGTTTCCATCCAACAACTTACGTGCTGGCAATGCGCTTCAGCAGCTTCTTCACCCAGGGGGCTTCGGGATTCACACACACCTTCCCTGAGGTTCTTAACTTAATGCTGAAACACAAGGAGAGCATTCCTGTCCCCTCCAAAGGCAGGGATTCAACCAGCCAGAGCTGATGGGGAGAGTCAGCTTTTGCTCACAGCACAACAATTGTAGAAAGCTGCTAGAGACAGAGGAAGCCGCTGCATGGCTGGGAACAAGCAAGACTCAACACATTCCTAGGTGGAGCAGACACTTGAAGCACAGAACACTGCTCAAAGGCAATTTTTTTCTGGAGAGCTACAAAACTACCAACACCAAGCAGCTACAAAAATCTGGGAAAATGTGGTATGGCTCATGCTGCCTCGGTGTGAGGAAGTGCTTCCTCCAGGCTGCAAGCACCCCTGCTCCAGCTCAAGGAAATTATGCTTTCCCCTGCTGGAGAGATTCCTTTAGGCCCTGGGGACCTGCACTTCTGCCCCTGATGTTTCTCAGCAAGTAAGCAGGCGGCACTTTTGGGAAGGTTTAGATTCCAGCGAGGCTGGAGAAGCAGGATGGTGCAGCAGCAGAGCCCATGGCACTTACATGATCTCCGTGCGCCTGCAGCTGCTGCCCACGGGCCTTATCTCAATGCTCTCGTATTTCTTGGGACTGATGTATTCCGAGGTTGTCTTGGCACACCTACAGCTCAGGTTCCCGTTCACCTCCAGGATGGCTGAGAGAGAGAGAAGGTGGCAGCTTACAGGCACAGACAGGCTGACAGGGATGCAGCAGCTCCAGGAGCCAAAGGAAGTTCCCCTTGCCGTGTTTCCACTGCAGGGACCACGGTGAGAAACTGCCACCTGCACCTCCACCTCAGTTTCCTGCTCCCACACTGCTCCCAAAAGCTGAACCAGAGCCCTGCAAAGGATGCTCGTGCTTTTCCCCTGGCAAACAACAAGGCAAGCCCTCACTGAAGAGGCAGCAGCATCCCAAGCTGCCCAGGGGCTCTGGGTGCAGGATGATGCCAGCGAAGGCACCGGGAGCTCACCTGCGTGGGCAGGGTGGGACAGCAGCAGCAGCAGGAGCAGCAGCCACGGGAGCAGGGGGGCTCCCATCCTCAGGGAAGGCTCAGCCCCGCAGAGGCAGTGCAGGAGCAGCTCACAAACAGCCCTATTTATCGGGGAGGGTCACGCTCCAGCACAGGCACAGTCACACCTCAGCAGTCACACCCGGCCAGCAGAGACACACTGAGCTGATGGCATTTCTCAGATGCTCCCCACACACAGCCCAGAAGCTCAGTGGTCAATATTTTTAACTAAAACCAGCCACTGGGGCCGAGTGCAACGTTTGGATTCCCCACACATCTCCCCCACATCACCCTTCATTCCCTTGAGTATTTACCCCTCAGCCACAAAAAAAAAGCCCAGAATGAAAGCAGAGCCCAAGCCCCTGACTAAGCAGGGGGGATTTTAGCATGCTCAGACATTTACATATTTCTTTCTTGGGGCTATACTTTCCCCACGCTATTTTTGTTGCCTCACTCATCAGCAGAAACGCCTCATGCCGTGCCAAGTAAAAACAATCATGATCTCCCTGCTTTATGCTTCCACTCAAATCTTTCAAATTTCACACACCCAGGATGGTCACAGAAGCACCCTGTGCCCTCAGGTGTTGGTGGGATGGGGGCTTTGCCCTAAATAAATTCAGTGAAGTCACCAGTCGGGAAGCAAAAGGGGAAGGGGATATGTGGCGAGGCAAGGAGGAAGGAAGAGGGCAGAAGAAAAGAGATGTGGTTGTGCGATAATGTTGTAATTTGGAGCTTTCAAATCACATCAGCATTTTATATAGCTGTTACCAAAATAGTAAATATTAAAAAAAGTCTTCCACTCAAACTCAAGCTGGGCATCTCTCTTGGAAAATCTCGTTTTTTTCCTCTGGGATGGGTCCAAAAGTCTTGTGAAGTGCTTGTCCAAGAGATGACTGGGGAGTTTAAATCCCTGTACACCAGGGTCACAGAGAGGCCAGGGACAATTTCCATGAGCTATTCCCAAAATCCTACAGAAAGAATGGGTGCCTTGCTGTCACAGCAGTGGAAGAGGACATGGCCTTAAAACTGGGTTTTGTTTAACCCTTCCAGAGTTTTCAATTTCCTTGCAGAGACTTACTAGAAGGAACAAACTAAGGACTGGTTTTGCTGGGTTATGGCAGGAGTCTCGTGGAAAAAATGGTGAGAAAGGCAGCAACTCATCTGAAAATCTTTCTGAAGTTCCTGACTACAAAATGATCCCGCTTTTTAGAGCTGGGAAAAAACAAGAGAAGTGAAAGAGAAGTGAAATCAACTTTCCCCAGAAAAGATGGAGCTGGAGCATTCAGCTGCTGCTCTTCCAGGACTGGAGGAATCCAGCAGCATTCCTGGCAGTGCTTAATGAAATTGGTACAAGAAGAAAATTATCCCTGGACACATGCAATGGATGGACCAAGATGAGCCAGATCCTGCCCCTGATTTGTGGCCACAGGGCGGGTGTCCACCTCCTGCCTTGCGCTGGAAAGAAGCAGGAGCTACAGAACATCACTGGATGGATTTTGAGAGGGTCTGAATGGGCTGGGCAGCAGCCACGGTGCTGTGATGGATGAGAAAGGTGTGACTGATGAACTCTGGGCTGGTTTCTCAGAAGCAAACGCCGCAGTCATGGTGGTGGCTGATATTTCTGCACAACAAGTGGTAATTTTGCAAAGGGAGAAGCAGGGTGAGGATGTGAGCTGTGACTGCACTTAAGCTGACTTGCTTCCTGGATGCCAGGAATTCAGAAGAGTGGCCCTCAAGTAGGGATGTGTGGTGTCATCCAAGCCAGCATCAACTGAAACACATCCAAAGCACCCTCACAGCTTCTCTGTTTTCTGCAGCAGCTGCCCCTGTGCAGGCAAGACTTTGATTTTAGTCATTTTTAATCTAATTCTTATTGGATTTTTATAATGTTTTTTTCACCTGTAATACTTTTTAATCCTTCCTGTGGTACCTAAATCAGAGACCTCCAAAAAACAGTGGTGCAAGCAGCACCTAGAGGCCACATGGAAAACCTTTTCCATGTTTACCAGGATGGGCAGAAACCCAACCCTGACGTCAGCGCCAAGGAGATGCAGCTCTCCAGCCCTTCAGGGAGGACTCACAAGAGACTGCATCACAAACATCTGCAGCAAACAAACCTCTCAAAGAGAATCACATGAGAGAAAGTAATTTTTGAGTTTACCCCTCCTTTGCCCACAACTCACTCAGGGCTCCTTGCAGGAGAGAAAAAAAACCAAAAAACAAAAAAACCCTGTGGGTTTTTTTTTGTTTTTTTTTTTTAATTATCCCCCAAAAACCCCAACTGCAGTGAATCTTCACCACTGTGGTTTGTGGTCCATCACCTGCTTCAAAGATAAAAATGCTTCCTGCCAAAACCTGAGAAACCTGAAACCCACACATATTTCAGTGTCAACGTGAGAGCACCAGAATTAGCCAAAACCTAACGAAATCAGTCCAAAATTAGCTTGGGTGAACAACACATCGAGCTCACTCTTACTTGCCTTCTTCAAATGAAGATGCACGACTTGCTGCTGATGCAAGGGGACAGAATTGTGCGTTTGGCCCATTTTTGGAGACAGCAGAGTGGTGTCATGACACCTCTGCAAGCAGGTGAGAAACATGCTCTGATGTCTTGAAAAGGATTTGGTGTGCTGAGGGATAAAGAAGGGAATATGGTAAGAGGGAGCTTTGAAAGGGATTGGATAAGAAAGATGGAGAAAGGCTGGGAGCAAGGACAAGAGAAATTACAGAAGACTTGTAAGAAATGTAAATCCAACATTCTTGCCTCCCCAGTCCATCTTGGGGACCTCTGGGGAGCAGCTTTCTGCTGAAGAGACAGCAATACAAAAATAGGGCCGCGCAGCCCCACGGCGGGGACAGTTTCTGGGAAATCCTGGCCACCCCAGAGATGCAAATGGCGCAGGAGAAAACCCCCAGCCCATCCTTGCTTCTAGAGAAGCACTGTGGGGAACACCCCGGCACCCCCACACTGCTCCAGAGCTCTCCACTCGTTTCCTGTCCGAGTCGCTCCGAGACGAGCCCGCTGCCGAGCAGAGCAGCGCCGTTATTCCTCAGCGCCACTTCTGCCTGGCACGGAGGACGTCAGGCAGGGATGGCAGCCAAGGACTTTCCCAGAAAGTGTCACCGGGGTCGCGTGGCCCGGCTGGCTCCCCACACATTTGCATGTGGCACAGGAACCGGTCTAGACGCCGCAGGTGCCGCCGAGCCTGCGGGCGCCGTTGGCCGTTTGCATCGGGGCGCCGTGGGACAGCGAGGGCTCCACCATGGAGCAAGGGGAGGAGGAGGGAAGCCTTGGTCCTGTGCCAGGAGGGAGCCAAGGACCAGCAGCTGGGGGTGCTCTAAGTGAGCTGTGCCTGGCTGCTCAGCCCTCGTGCCAATGGCGCAATGGGGCGTTCCACACATCCCCGCTGCA